CCCATTCATCTGTGTAACTCTAGTACCTTAGCCCAGCACTTGGACAGGAATAGAGTAATAATAATAATAGCTCACATTCATTGAGTGTTTATTCTGTACTAGGCACCAGGCAAACCACTTCCTATGTATTATGACATGTATTCTTTTTTTTTTTGAGACAGAGTTTCGCTGTTGTTACCCAGGCTGGCACGATCTCGGCTTACCGCAACCTCCGTCTCCTGGGTTCAGGCAATTCTCCTGCCTCAGCCTCCTGAGTAGCTGGGATTACAGGCACGCGCCACCATGCCCAGCTAATTTTTTGTATTTTTAGTAGAGACGGGGTTTCACCTTGTTGACCAGGATGGTCTCGATCTCTTGACCTCGTGATCCACCCGCCTCGGCCTCCCAAAGTGCTGGGATTACAGGCGTGAGCCACCGCACCCGGCCGACATGTATTCTTACAGCAGCCCTACAAGATAGATAATTTATTATTCTCCTTTTATTGATAAGATGTCTGAGGCTCAGAGGAGTGCAGCGACGTGCCTAAGGTCGCACAGGAAATCATGGCAGAACTGGGATTTGAACTCGGTCTGTCAGGCTCCAGAGCTCATGTTCTTTACACTCTGTGGCCACTCAACAGAGCTGCTGAGATGGATGAGGAATTAATGAATAAACAGTTTATCGACCGCTAGGCAGGAATTTCCTCATCGCCTCTTCATCAATACATTCTTCTTCCCTGTTGCCAGTCTTCTTTTCTTCCTTGTTACCTTCATCAGCAAGAATCCTTTGTAGGAATCAAGCAATGACTTGGTCCTGGTTCAGTTGACCTGTTGCAGGGATCAGGATTCTGTTCCCTGGTTTTTGCTTTTGGTGAAATGAATCTTGGGGTTTAGACTGCTTGGGTTCAAATCCTGGTCCTACCACTAACTACCTGAACAACCTTGAGGTGGGTTACTTCACCTCTTCCAGCCATTGAGCAAGTGACTTCCCCACTCTAAGCTTCTGTTTCCTATACTGGGAGTAGTAATGGTACTTACCTCTTAGCACAAGGATTCAATGAGATAATGTACGTAAAGATCTGGCCCCTAGCAAAAGCTCAGTTAGTGTTAGCTTATTCTTCTCCATGGCCCGATAAGAGTGCTACTGCGGGGGAGGTGGACTGCCTGGTTCAGACTTTTCTCTTCATTCTGCCAGAAAGTCTGGGATAGTCACATCCCAGGACACCAATCTTGATGAGGGAGATGGTTGTCACGTGGTGCTGGAATTCTTTTATTCAGCCGTGCTTCTCCCTGTAAATCCTGGAAGACCTCCTGAAGGGGAGAGGAGAATTTTGAGATTGCTGGAGATATTGTTCAAGAGATGGCTCAGAGGGCTGAGGACTGAGGGCACAGGGAAGGAGGCAAGGGTCCCTGAGCCTGCAACCACCACACGCTCCAACAGATGCTCTCCCCTGGCTGACCGCCTGCCCGCCTCTCCACTCACCCAGCAGCACTGTGGCTGCTGTGTTAAAACCTGGAGGAGACCCCTCACGCCATCTAAGCCTCATGCCTTCCTTCTTGGCCCTGGGACAGACCCTTGTTGGCACCATCCCCCAAGTGGGCACCGAAAGGACAGAAAGCAGGAAGAGGGGACCTTTGTCCAAGCCCCAGTGGCAGTGGCTCCTCGGGTCAGGGCTGGGCCAAGGGGCCAGTGCACAGCCTCCTCCCTTCCTCCTTCTCTGCCCCATGAGGAATGTCTTCTCAGACTCACCAGCGTGGCGGTCGGCTCCGCTTCACAGAGGGGGCTGTGTCCTGCCATCCCAGCTCCTCTGAAGCCCCCATTGTCGGGCTGGGGGGACTGGGGCAGGCAGGGGCCACACATCTCAAAGGCCTGAATGTTCTCAGAGGTGGGAAGGCTGAGATGCCTCCAAGAAGGATCGGGCCCTGGGACACCTGGCTCTTCTCTGTCTCTCTGCACCAAGTCCTGGCTGGCCACACAGGAGGGTTCCCAGGAAGTGGGACAGTTACGGGGATCCTCTGTATCTGCCTGTGTTGGGTCAAGTTGTTCAAGAGCCTGGTAGATAGGCCAGAGAAGTGGGGAAGAAAACATATGATTGGCCGGGTGCGGTGGCTCACGCCTGTAATTCCAGCACTTTGGGAGGCTGAGGCAGGTGGATCACCTGAGGTCGGGAGTTTGAGACCAGCCTGACCAACATGGAGAAACACCGTCTCTACTAAAAATACAAAACTAGCCAGGTGTGGTGGTGCATGCCTGTAAACCCAGATACTCAGGAGGCTGAGGCAGGAGAATCGCTTGAACCCTGGAGGTAGAGGTTGTGGTGAGCCAAGATCGCACCATTGCACTCCAGCCTGGGTGACAGAGAGAGACTCCAACTCAAAAACAACAAAAAACAAAAACTGTATGATTAAACTAACATAGGCTATTTTTGTAAAGTCCTGTTGAAGACCAGGCGGATTTCAAAACCGTCACGACCCACCTTGAAACAGCATAATAATCATCATCCTCCAGATATTGTAGATGGGAAAATGAGACACGAGGTAACTGGGTAAGTTGCCCAGAGCTACACAGGTGGTAAGGGACAGAGCTTCCAGGTGCGGTTCAGTAAGATTCATTGCAGGGCCCGTGTCTCAATGTCTATGCAAACCAGGAATGGCAGAATGCTCACGGGGAACTCAAAGAGAAATAATGCCACTTAGGCCGAGAGCAGCCGCTCATGGCTGTAATCCCAGCACTGTGGGACACCGAGGTGGGAGGATGGCTTGAGCCCAGGAATTCAAGACCAGCCTGGGCAACATGGCAAGACCCCATCTCTACAAAAATTTTTAAAAAGAGCCAGGTGTGGTAGTGTGCACTGTGGTCTCAGCTACTCAGAGAAGCTGAGGCGGGAAGATCACTAAAGGCCAGGAGGTTGAGGTTGCAGTGAGCCATGTTTGCACCACTGCACTGCAGCCTGGGCAGCAGAGCAGGACCCTTTCTGAGAATAATAATAATGGCCATCTTTCCCCCTTCAGCAACCCCTGAGACACCTGTAAGGGTCCACAGGTCTCCCAATCACAGCTGAAAATCCTGTGCTAAATCTTCTCCCAGGTTCCTTCCTTAGTGGGGTCTCCAACCCCTGGTTCCTAGATTGCTTTAGTCTGGGGCTTGCTTGGAGGCAAAGGACAATGTCCACCCACCCCTTTACTGCAGCTCTACCAGCTTCCACCAAAGCCCGCTCCAGGCTGGGTAGAAAGTGCCAGTACATTTTTTTTTTTTTTTTTTTTTTTTTGTTGAGACAGAGTTTCACTCATGTTACCTAGGCTGGAGTGCAATGGCGCGATCTCGGCTCACCGCAACCTCCGCCTCCTGGGTTCAGGCAATTCACCTGCCTCAGCCTCCTGAGTAGCTGGGACTACAGGCACGTGCCACCAAGCCCAGCTAATTTTTGTATTTTTAGTAGAGACGGGGTTTCACCATGTTGACCAGGATGGTCTCGATCTCTTGACCTCGTGATCCACCCGCCTCGGCCTCCCAAAGTGCTGGGATTACAGGCGTGACCCACCACGCCTGGCCTGCCAGTACATTTTTGTTCTGGGGCTCGAGGCCAGCAATGCTGGAGGAAACAAAGCCTCTGAAAGAGAAACACAGGCGTCACTGACGGTTTTGAGAAAAGCACCAGGACTTGCTCATCTAACCAGGTGTGGTCCATTTCAAAGCAGCACTCCCGGAGGCCCCCGGAGGCCTCCAACACTTCGGGAAACTCCTGCTCTGGGCTGAGCTTTGAGTTAGCAGCTCAGACTTCTGGCAATCCCAGACTGAGCCAAAGCTCCCCGATGTAACGGGTGAACCTGAGTTTTGGGCTCAGGAGCCACTTGCGACCAGTGTGGTGAATGGCAGGAGCCTCCTCCAGTAGGGCAGATAAGCGTCGCTCAGAACATAGCCTCGGGGCAGGCACTTATCCTGTGTGCAGTGCCAGGTGAGGTGGCAGTGGGCATGACCCAAGGATGACCAAGGGATTCAGGATACTTGCTGTTCAGTGAGGACAAGACCCATCCCGGAGCAGTCTAGGGCAATGTGGACAACACGTGTGGCCTCCTGCAGGGTAGACTTCCCGCTTGCTGTAGGAGGCTCTGGGAGAGGGAAAAGAGTAGAGAAAGTGCTGCTACAAGGCTCAAAACCAAGTATGCTCAAGAGGCTACCTTCAGCATGTAGAGAGGGGCTTATAAAATCCAGAATGTCTTCCTGTTGGAGGTAGGCTGTGCCTTGGGCTTAAAAGGATAGGTTGGATTTGGACAGAGTTGAAAAGGAAGGGGATTTGCCAGGTGCGGTGGCTCATGCCTGTAATCCCAGCACTTTGGAAGGCCGAGGTGGGTGGATCACGAGGTCAAGAGATCGAGACCATCCTGGTCAACATGGTGAAACCCGGTCTCTACTAAAAATACAAAAAATTAGCTGGGCATGGTGGTGCGTGCCTGTAATCCCAGCTACTCAGGAGGCTGAGGCAGGAGAATTGCCTGAACCCAGGAGGCGGAGGTTGCTGTGAGCCAACATCGCACCATTGCACTCCAGCCTGGGTAACAAGAGCGAAACTCCGTCTCACAAAAAAAAAAGAAAAGGAAGGAGATTCCAGGTGGAGGGGACAAGCTGGTTGGTACTGTTTTGATTGAAATCAATCAACCAATAAAACAAACCCTAGCTGAGCATAGTTGTCACAGGAGGTTGAGAGGTACTGCAAAGTCATGTTTAAGGTTCCGGCTGAGAAGTGACTTGAGTGCATCTAACCGCTGCCATTTACTAGCTGTGCGACCTTCGGCAGGTGGCTTAATCTCCCCTAGTCTGGGCTTCCACATGTGAAAACTGAAGATAATAACAGTGGCTTCCTCCTAGGAAGTTCTAAGAAGCTGGTGCTTGGTGACCAGCCCAGGGTAAGGACCCAGCCAGTGTCACTTCATCTCCTTAAGTGACATCATCTCCTTAAGAGGCTCCTAAAGAGACCAGGAGAGTTAGTTCTCAGAAAGGGGTCCCAAGCTACTCTATGAGTCATGGGAAACAGGTGAGATGCCACCTGCTGGTCTCCCAACAGGGCTAGTGGGGTGGGGAGGATCCTTGTTGTCCTGTGGAAGTCTATCACCACAGCCGTGGCACACCATCCCCAGGGATGTCTCCTGCTTCCAATCCCTCAACAAATCCTGTGGGTTCTTCTAGAACAAGTCTCTCACCCTTGCCCTCCTCTCTGCCTCCAACCCAAAAGCATCAGCCTCCTGAGGGCTCACCCTGGCCCGATTTCTCCCATCACCGATCCTCATCCTCCCATGGCCTCCAGAATGATCCTCCAGGGCAGAGTAGATCATACCTTTCCTCAGCTCAAAAACCTTCCAGGGTTCCCACTGCCTGGAGAATGAAACCCAGCCCTGCCTACCTTTCCAGCCTCCTCCCTGGAGTCCTCCCAGACTCCACTCCTCAGCAGAGACTATAGCTCACTCATAGCTGTCTTTTTCTATAGCTGGGCATGGACTATGCATGAAAACAGGGAGTTCAGTCTGCGACCACCCAGAAGGACTGTCAGAGACCACCCTCAGGGCTGACATTACTGCCGAAGGACGCTGTACCCCACAAACTCCCTGGAAGAGAACAGGGTGGGGCTGCAGAAACCTCTACAGAGCCTGGCACGGATGCCAGCAGCCCGGATAGAGCCCAGGCGGCTGTGTTGGCACCACTCTGCTGCCGGAGATGAGGGTGAGACAAACAGCAATTAGCCAAGCACAGGCTGGGCTCACAAGGCTAATTACCAATTAGATGGGGCCCAGCGATTAGCAGCAAGAGACAGTCAGCAAATAGTCACCGGCGTGGCAAAGCAGAAGGTGGGAGAGGGGTCACCTCTGTTTCTGCCAACAGGTCTGGCCTCCTGGCAGTTAGTGTAGCTCCGTTCTAGGGGAGAGGGTTTCCAGCAATGCAGGGGGCTAGGAAGGGACAGGAGACCCTCTCGGGGGACTTGGGCAGGGTTTGCCTTCTTGTTGATTCCCAGAATTGTCTTCAGAGTGGGGTTCACAGTGGGGCTCAGGGTGCTTCTAGGTGGTGCTGGTGGGGATGCTGCTGGGAATTTTGACTTGGCCAGGTGAGCTCAGCGGAACCTCAGAGCCTCGGAGCAGTTGGAGCCTCCCTGCCAGACGCCCATTGGGATGCATTTGTGTCTGGAGCTTTGCCTGGCTGGCTGCAGGGAGGGAGGGAGGGGGGGCCAATAGCTTCCTTCCTCTCATCTTGGCTCAGCACTTCTTCACTGTGTCTCCTCTCTCCCTCCCCTCCTCCACCTTCCTCTCTTCCCTCCGCTTTTCTCTTTTTCTCTCTCTCTCTCCCTCCCTCCCTTCCTCCCTCCCTTCCTCCCTCCCTTCCTCCCTCTCTCCCTCTCACCCTCCCTCTCACCCCCTCTGTCTCTCCATTCCTCACCTCTCTGGCTTTCTGTCTTTATCTCTGGCTCTCTTTGGGTCTCACTCTCCCACCCGCCTTGAATCCCATGTGGACCCCACAGTCCCTGCTTTCACTTAGGGTGGGGTCTCCTCCACCGAAGGCAGAATTGAGATTGGACAGATATGAGGAGTTCCTGATCATCAGAGCCAGGCCATTCTGGGTGAGCTGTCCCTGGACTGGGGGCGAGTGAAAGGGGGAATGGGCCTCCTCCCGTCTTGGGATGCTTGTGAGGGAAACACTGATATGTGTGAATGATCCTACAAGAAGGCAAGATCGACTGGGACTGGTGGCTCACGCTTGTAATCCCAGCACTTTGGGAGGCCAAGGCGGGTGGATCACTTGAGGTCAAGAGTTCAAGACCAGCCTGGCCAACATAGCGAAACTCTGTCTCTACTACAAATACAAAAAAATTAGCGGGGCGTGGTGGTGGCATCTATAATCCCAGCTACTTGGGAGGCTGAGGTAAGAGACTTGCTAGAACCCTGGGGGTGGAGGTTGCAGTGAACTGAGATTGCGCCACTGCATTCCAGCCTGCGTGACAGAGCAAGACTCCCTCTCAAAAAAAAAAAAAAAAAAGGAAGAAAGAAGAAAAGAAGGCTAGATTACAGGACTCCACCTCAGACAGATTCAGGGCCAAAATCAAGTTCAACTCCTAGTCTGCTTACTAGTCTCCACCTCCCATTCACTTCTCACCAGTGCCTGCTCTACTTGGAGCCTGGGGGCCCTGCTGGGCCAGGAGCCTCAACCTGCTCAAATGGCAGGACTTCCTGAATCCCGATGGGCCTTGCCAGGCTGGGCCTGCACGCGGGTGGTGGTGGCGATGACAGGTGCCCTTGTAGCCTTTGGTGGGGTTGCACACAAGCAAATCAGTGCAGCCTGTCTCAGCCACTAGCCATGGGGTCTGTGTTGTAGAACAGACCTTCTGGGGCCCATGGAAATTGGAAGGAAAGGACACCGCTCTCGCCGAGATGGGATGACTCACAGAGATAGGGATGGGAGAGGAGTGGGCATTCGATGAGGGGAGGGATTCAGTGAGGAAAGAAGAGGGAGGCCATTAGCAAAGAGGTCTCTGGAGGAAGATGAGCGCTCAGATCTGGAAACAAGCTTAGGAATTGCAGACCTGGCCAAAACCAGTGTGTGCATCTCAGTTAATCTTTGCAGCTTCCACCACAGGCGCACTGCACAGGAGATCAAAGCACCTGGTTTCTCATCCCAGTGTGGGTGGGGCTCCAGGGGCTTCATCTGCCCCCAGGGACAGGTGGCACATCCCTGCTTCCCCCATTCTTGCTATGTCCGGTGCCCCCCCCACCCCGGAAGGTGGAGATCTCCCTGGCTTGCTTGGAGAAGAAAAGAATGGAGCATCTGCCAGCAGGAATGCGGAAGAAGAGGAGGGACTGTAATGAGGGGAGCACGGGGGTGTCAGTGCCTGGATGAGGGCAGTGCCTGGGCTTATGGCCCTGTGTGCACTAGCATGTGCCTGCCCCTCGCCCACACAGACCACACAGTTCCCTGGCTCCCTCCTGCTGTGGTCAGAAGGCCTATGGACAGGCCTGTGGTCAACATCTCTGGGCTCTGAACTCACCCCTCAGCTATGCCCCCTGGACAATGGGTTTCTTTCTGCACAAGATGGGCACGAGGGACCCCGTCATGGACTAGTGACCTGAGGGACAGGGCTGCCCCAGGGCATGTCCCAGCCTTGGTCACACTTGTGGACATTGGCTGGCCTTGACCCTGGGTGGACCAAAGAGAAAAAGACCCTCTCTTTTTTGCCTGTCCCAGGAAGGCTTCCTGGAGGAGGCAATTCAGTGCTCTCCCCAGCTCTATGACATGCCAACCTATGGGTTTTTAGCTGGCATGCACGAGGCCCTCTTGGCACAATCAGAAGATTGAACGGGCACCTGCCAGGGAGCTTACTTGTCTTCCGCGTCAACACTCAGGTGCCTTGTGGGTAAATACCAATGGAGGACTGCGAGTTCAGCTAGAGGAAGAACCAAATCCACATCAGATGGGAGAGATGCCCTGCCCCTAGGGAACCAGTCCGGGAACAGCCTTTGAGGGAGGGAGGGGGCAGATGAGGAAGGGCTCCTCCCATCAAGAGAAAAGGAGAAGGGTTTCCTAGGGGGAAGACTGGGAGGACTGCTCAGGTAGGGGTTGTCTGGGCCTGGGGAGATACCTGGTAGGGACTGAATGGAGGGTGAAGGTGCAGGAAAGAGCTTCAGGATGGCCCCAGAACTGGCACAGAGACACCAGTCTAAACTCCGCGGTAACACAGCACAGGAGGGGAAGGCACTCCATTTTAGCCCAGGTTTCTGACTTGAGCCCAAAGCGCTTTCACATCCTCTTCCCCCTTCCCCTGCAACCCACACCCCTGGGTGGCCAGAGATCTGTGGGGGGCAGGAAGCACCGTTCCAGCCGCTCAGCACCCTCGGCCGGACAGCTGTTCTGTGCAGCTGCTGGGGGCTCTGGGGGCTGCGGCGGATTTGATTTGATTCAAGCCCCAAAATAGCCATTGTAGCAGGAAGCGGCCCCTTCCCCCAAGCCCTCCAGGACCCTCCATCCGGGGGCCTAGTTGACACCTTAGAAGTTCTGCCCCCTCCCCGTCTCCCCGCACTCCTCCCCTGGTCTCTGGAGACCCACTTTTTTTCTCCCCTTAGCCTGCAGCCGTTAGCCTTGCACATCCCCTGTGTCCAGTGCATCTCCACACTCCCCTCCTCCAGGAAGCCTGCCCTGGTCACCCTACCCGCCTCGAGCCTGCACCGGCTCTGTGCCCACACACGATCCCAGCCCTCCCCCACCCCAGCCCTACTCTTCAGGGACCATGGGGGGGGGGATGTGTAAGGCTGGGGGCCTGTGGCCAGGCACGGGCGGGCTGCAGAGGGCACACAAAGATGCAGGCTGCCCTGGCCTTTGATGAGTAATCGCTGTTCCCTGGAGCCACAATTCCACTCTGCCGCTTGAGCCCCTCGGCCCCCTCCCCCATCCAGCTCCTCAAATAAGACTAGTTTTTGTTCTGAGGACACAAAGCGAGAAAATGTCACCCAGGGGGTGTGCCCCCTGGCCCCAGTCCTGACAACCAGAGCTCTTAATCACCCTGCCTCCTTCCCCTACAGCGTCCCTCCAGCAGCTGGCCGAGCCATGGGAGGGGGTAGGAAGAGGGGCAGGGGAACCAGTTACCACCTTCTGGGGCTGAGCCTTCCTCCAGCTTGAGGTCTTAGATGCTCATTTTCTTCCCTCCCTCCCTTCACTTGACTGGCAGCTCCTGCAACAGCACCTCACAGAGGCCCAGGCCTTGGTGCTGGGTTCTTGGTTCTGTCTCCATCAAAGCCCACCAAGGTCCTCGAAACAGGAGCCTCAGAAGTGCACCAGACACTCTAGAAGGCGCTGCACTAGAGAACTGCGTCAAAGCTTGGATAAGTGCTGTAAGGAAAGTGAAAGAGAGTGGCGGAGGGTGATGGTGAGGGGCAGGAGGTAGAGTCATCTCTCTTGCCGGATGTCAGAGACATCTTTGAGTTATCTCACGTGATCTTTGAGCTGAGACCTTGATGGAAAGAGGAGCTGCTTTGCACAGATTTGGGGAGAGGGCCTCCTCTGCAAAGGCCCTGTGGCCTGTGGTGGTGTTAAGGGTTGGCTTGGGCGAGGCGTGGTGGCTTAAACACCTATAATCCCAGCACTTTGGGAGGCTGAGGCAGGTGGATCACAAGGTCAGGAGTTTGAGACCAGCCTGGCCAACATGGTGAAAACTTTCTCTACTAAAAATACAAAATTAGCTGGGCGTGGTGGTGCGAGCCTGTAATCCTAGTCACTTGGGAGGCTGAGGCAGGAGAATGGAACCCAGGAGGTGGAGGTTGCAGTGAGCTGAGAATGTGCCACTGTACTCCTGCCTGGGTGACAGAGCGAGACTCCATCTCAGAAAAAAAAAAAAAAAAGGATTGGCTTGGAAGGACAAACCCTCCCCACTCCATTATCTGAGCATCCATCATTTGTCCCAAATAAATACAGTCTTTATTGCTGCACTCCACCCCCACCAAAACATAGTCTAAGTAAGGATAGACACCGCTCCTAAACCAGTTCCCCGGCTCCCTTTCCACCCAAAGGCTGCCCCTAAACTCCTGTACAGAACAGCTGAAACCTTCACTGCTGAGGCCTTTTCCTCTCTTGATTCCCAGGTCTCATACAGTCTGGTCTTCTCTTCCTCCAGCACCTACACCCACCTGCCCACTTTTCTCTCTCCACCACCACCACCCTCCACCGAACCCCATTCCCCATTCCTGCACTTCAGCAGACTCTAGCTGCTCTCTCAGCTCCATCTTTGTCTTCTACAATGCATTTTCCATGGAGCAGACAGAGCAATCTTTACAAAATGAAAATCAGATCACATCACTCCCTTGTTTAAAAGCCTCCAAAGACTTCTCATTGCTTTGAGAATGAATCGCAAATTCTCCTGTAAGTAAAAGTAGGGAGGATGGAAGGAGTCACGTTAGATAAATGTTTATGGACTCTCACTGTATATGAGAGAGGGACCAAAAAATAGATGACAATGATGACAATGAAGATGATAATACATCATTCTGAGGAGTGTGGTTGGTTGATTAAATCTGTGTACCTGAGATCCAGTAAGAGAAAAATCATCTCAACTCTATATTTTTGGTTCACAAAACCCTGCTTGGTCTGGCCTCCACCCATGTCCCCCATCTCATCTCCTACCATTTTCCCGCTCCCTTGTTCAGTGGGCTCCAGCAGAGAAAATAGGAAGCATTCGATTTCCTAGACCACTCATGCATGCCTTCGTTCATTCATTCAACACATGTATGAAATCCCTACCACACATCAAGCATTGGCTAGATGTGGAGATACAGAGCTAAATAGGGACTTACAGTCTAGTGCAGGAGGCAGATAGATTCTAAAGAAATATAAGAAGGGTGATGGAAACCTTGCCTGGGACAGTTGGGAATGGCTGAACAACCTTGAGCTCAGTCTTCAAGGAGAAGTTCGAGTTCACCAAGCAAAAATCAGGGTCGTAGTTCTTGGCTGAGGGGACCGTGTTTGCAAAGGCAAGAACCCTGAGAGAACACAGGCGGATCAGAGATTGGGGAGAAATGTGGCATGGACAGGCCCAGAAGCATGCTGGGAAATGAGCCTGGACTGGGAAGCAAGGGTCAGACCATGAATGGACTTGGAAGCCTCATTAGGACTTGAGATTTATCTTTAGGCCACGAGGCTACAGCCAAGATTTTAAAGCAGAGATGTGCATAATCAGATTTCTGCTTTAGAAAGAGCTCTCTGGCAGCAGCATAGATAGATGATAGATTGGAGAGAGGACAGACTGGAGTCAGAAAGGCCAGCCGGTTCCGGAAAGAAATGATGAAGGCCTGAACCAGGGCAGGGGCAGCGGAGAAAGGAGAGGTGGGCACATTCAAGGTAAGCCTGTCTGGACTTCTTGGCCACATGCATATGGAAAGAGAAGGTGGGAGAAGAGAAGATGTGATGTTTACACACAGACTTCAGGCTTGGGGGATTGGGAGGGTGCTGGGCCACTCCTGAAATGGACAACAGCCTGGAGTGGGGTTGGAGAGCCAAGCCTTGGGCACATTGGGGTGCAGGTGCCTGAGGGACGTGCGGGTGGAGAGATCTGGTTGAGTTGGAAACACAGTCTGTGCTTAGAAATAAAACGTGCGCTAGAGAAGAGGCCCAGGTGACGCCAAGAGTGTGGATCTTGGCACAGGTCTCCTAGTTTCCCAGGGACTCTGCCTCTCACACCTGCCAGAGGAATGTCTCTGGACTGGGGGTGAATGTAGGGGCAGGAAGCTCTATAATGGGACCAGCTAGTGGTGTGCACTTGCAGAAATCAGGAAAGGCCAAAGATAGAGGGGAAGGGGCAGCACCAGGAATCTCTGGACTTCAAAATCCCCGTAGTGATGCCTTAGAAAACATCTGGCTAGGTCAAGCATGGTGGCTCATGCCTGTAATCCCAGCGCTTTGGGAGGCTGAGGCAGGCAGATCACTAGGTCAGTGGTTCAAGACCAGCCTGGCCAACATGGTGAAACCCCGTCTCTATTAAAAATACAAAAATTAGCCAGGTGTGGTGGCGGACACTTATAATCCCAGCTACTCTGGAGGCTGAGGCACGAGAATCGCTTGAACCTGGGAGGTGGAGGTTGCAGTGAGCTTGGGCAACAGCAAGACTCCATCTCAAAACAAAAACAAACAAACAAACAAAAATATCCAACTAAACAAAGCTTGCATTTTACAGTTGAGAAACGGAGGCTCAGATGGGTAGAATGACTTTACCCCAACTGCCCCCCTAATTTGCCCACCCTCTGGGTTGGCAAGGTGATGTATAGATTTGCTTTTGACTTATGCACAATCTGTTTATTGCCATAGAACTGGAGTCCCACTGCCCACCACCACCATGTGTGGAAGAGAAGAAGACAGCCAGGGTCCAGGTCAAAGGGGAAGTGTTGGCGGGGGAGGGTGGGCGACACGCTGATGGCTTTCTCTTCCCACCTGCTGAATGCTCCCTGTCCCAAGAAGGGGGCCACCCTGCAGTCCACTCAAGGACACTGGCTCCTCCTAGCGGATGTAGGGAGCATTACTTTCGGTCCCAGGTAGGCTTGGAAGGCAAGTCCCTGGAGCAGAGGACCTCGTACCTTCTGACCAGACACTGAATTGGGCCCAGTCCCAGTTGTTTATCCCCCAACAGAAACTCCACCTCCCATGTAGGAGACATTTGCTCTGGCCGGAGCTGAGACTTGACCCCAGCAAGACTTCCCAGACCACATCTGGGGTGCTTCCACAGCGCCTGGTGAGGGGACAGGAGGCTTAAGCCATCCACAGCCTGCCCTGTCCCATCCAAATGCTTCTGGCAGCCTGAGAGCCCCTTGGGGCCAAGCGCTGGCTTCACCTCTGTTTCCTTAGAGTCTGATACACGGCCTCTCATGTACTGGGTGCTCCACACTTAGCCACTGCCTCATCCCTTCTGGTCCAGGTCCCTGCAGGCCCGTTTCCTGCCTTGACCGCTCCACCTGACCTCTAGAGGACACAGGGGACTCAGAGCCTTCCTGGGGCTTTGTCAGCACTTCCCAGAGCCCATCTGTTTTCTTTTTCCACATGGGCTTTTTGGAGCTGAAAATTTTTGCCTATTGGAAGATCCTAGGGGAGGGGAAGGGGTATGATTTTTATGTTGAGTTAGTTATAAGTCACCTTGAAAAAAAATGGTGAATAAAATGGAAAGAAAGGCCGGGCGTGATGGCTCATGCCTATAATCCCAGCACTAGGGGGGGCTCAGGCAGGCGGATCACCTGAGATCAGGAGTTTGAGACCAGCCTGGCCAATATAGTGAAACCCCGTCTCTACTAAAAATAAAATTAAAAAAAAAAATTAGGCATGGTGGTGGGCACCTGTAATCCCAGATACTTGGGAAGCTGAGGCAGGAGAATTGCTTGAACCTGGAAGGCAGAGGTTACAGTGAGCTGAGATCACGCCACTGCACTCCAGCCTGGGTGACAGAACAAGAATCTGTCTCAAAAAAAAAAAAAAAGAGTTAATTGTGTGGCATCCAATTAGGATGAAATGTCTTATCACTCCTGGCTGTGACTACATTTCTGAGGATGCAGGAAGAGTCCTGTGTGAGGAGGACATCCTGCCCTGGGGATGAGCTTGGATGTGATTGTAACAGCACCTAGCATTTACATAGCCTTGAAGTGTGCTTTTATTTATTTATGTATTTTTTCTTGAGATGAGGGTCTCACTATGCTGCTCAGGCTGGCCTCAAACTCCTGAGCTCAAGCAATCCTCCTACTTCAGCATCTGGAGGAGCTGGGACTACAGGTGTGTGCCACTGTGCTTGGCAACCTTGAGGTGCTTTCGTGCACCACTTTGGAGCATGAGAGCTGTGCTTGTTTTGCAGAGCAGGAAACTAAGGCCAAATGTGTTGCTCAAGATCACAGAACTGGCAAGAACGACAAGGCTGGGATCTAACCCAGGCCTCCTGATTCTCGAGTTCGGTGGCCTTTCCCTACAACAGAGTCTCCCTTTGCATGATCTGTGACCTTTCAGAAGCCTGCTCGGTTATCACCTCAGGCTTAGTGACCCGGGGAGAAGGGATTCACAGAACGGACGCAGTTACGAGCTCTAGCCTCCCTCCCTTCCTTCTCCAGCCCTCCTTCCCTTTCTTTCTTCTTTCCAATGAATTCTGTGCTCTGTGTGTCAGGCCCTGGGCTCTGAAGGCCAGGAGATCCTCTCTAGTCACTTCTCTGAGTGCTGGCAGCTGTGCTGTGCCATGCCAGGCAGGGAGCAGCATGAAGGAAGGGAGGAGCTGATTGCAAACAGCTGGTCTACCCAGGCCACTGCCCAGGAGGCCTCTGTGGACTTAGCCACAGCTCAGGGCCCTGAGATGACCAGGACAGTGTCTCCCCATTCTGTGTGTTGGATGGCAGTGGGGGGCGTAGAACAGTGTTACCGAAGTCCCTGGAGAGCTGAAGCCATGAAGGAGAGAGGGAGGGGTGGTCCTAGAGAGTCTGCAGTCGGCACTGCCAGAAACACAGCCCAAAGCAAGGGGAACAGAAGGAAACTCTCCAACTGCCTCCCCGGCTATTCCCTGCCAGGGCCTCCCATTGGCTACACACACCTGGAGGCAGCTGCCAAGTGCGCCAGGTTGATATAAGCCCCAGGGACTGTCCTCTCTGCTCAGAGTGCAGGACAGCAAATGCATCTGCGGATTTGGGGTTCCACCAGGAAGAACAAGCACACTCATACACTTAGTATTCCCAGTGTCTAACACAGTGTCCGATACACAGTAGGCACCCAAGAAATACTTGGAAAATGAGGCCGGGCACGGTGGCTCACGCCTGTAATCCCAGCAGTTTGGAAGTCTGAGGTGGGGGGATCACCTGAGGTCAGGAGTTTGAAACCAGCCTGACCAACATGGAGAAACCTCATCTCTACTAAAAATACAGAATTATCCAGGCGTGGTGGCCCATGCCTGTGATCCACAGCACGGTCCGAAACACAAGGGCCCCGAAGATAAATTGACATGGTCCTGGCCTCCAGGAGTTTGGGGAGTGGACAAACAAGCTGAGATACAAGTGACCTAGTGCTAAGGCAACCACCCTGTCTGTGGGGAAGGCGCAGCACTTCCAAATTTCACTGCATTAAAGGAAACAGGTGAGAGGAAGAGAATGAGCAGGACACAGACTGAGTATCCCCATTAGCGGGCCTCTGAGAGCCATTGTGGAGAAAGGCCTGGTTACCAAGGGAAGGCAGCGTCAGGACAGGAAGAGACTCGAGCCCACACTCATCCCAGAGACCAGCCGACCAGTCTGCCCTGCCTCCCTTCCTTCTTTACCTCCATCATCATGAGAAGTCCAAGCCTGGGTGTTCACCTAGCATCACGCTGCCTCTCAGGCCGCACACGGCTCCGCACATCTCCAACTGGACTCAGTCCCCAATCCCTCCCTGCCCCGCACCTCCCAGTCCTCCTCGCTCATCCACCGGCCCTCTGGTGCTTCTAGGCTGTGATTGGCAAATTCTCCTCTGTCTTCACCTCTGAAGAACACCGCCCCACGTCCTGGCAGCCTCTTCTACAGCCTTCTCAACCAGGGCTTAGAGAGGACTAAGAGTGGGCTTCTTCATTCTTGATTTTAGGAGAAAACGTTCCGTCTTTCATCTCTTCCTTTTTGTCTTTTTTTTCAGTTCCTTTTTGTCTTAATAGCATCTTGTTCTAGTCTCATGTATGGTAGTATCTTTCCTTTTACCTGAAGCTATCAAGAATAAGGTATATTTGTTTCGATTTCCTATGCCCCTTGTCTCTGATTCAGCCAAGTTTTTTGTGTTTTTGTTTTGGTTTAGTTTTGTTTGTTTTGGTTTTCACTTTCATGTTATGGCTTTTCTCAAATGGACTTAAATCATGTGCGTCTGATTATTTATAATAACGCAGGCGGCTGGTTTAGTTCTCAAATCCTTTCTTCTCGTATATTTGGCTGCCTGGCTAGAGACTACGTCTTTCAATCCTCCTTTGTGACTACCCCAGGTCATGCAACCAAGTTTTCAACAATGAAATGGAGTGGAAAGTGTATATGCTGCTGCCTCCTTTGCTTAAAACAAAATTGCTGCCCCGAGTTTCCTCTACTTTCCCTTTCCTGCAATCTAGAACAGGTGTCCCTTGCTTACAGGAAGATCATCTTTTCGGGGATGAAAACCCAACGAAAGAAACCTGGGTCTATGAATGACCTGCGGAGCAAACAGCAATTAACTTGCGTCTTCTTTAGTCCACTGTATTCTGGGGTCTGCTTGGAACAGCAGTTTAGACTTTAACTAATATCCCAACTAATACAAGCACTGAAAAGCTGATTGGAAGCATATGTGTATGAGCGTGTCAATGTTATCCAGCGGTGAGTTTTACTCTAAGGGGCTTTTCCACGTATAATCCACATAACCCTGCTGGTCCTTGAGACCCTTTCAGGGGGTACTTGAAGGCAAAATTATTTTTGCGATAATACTAAGCTAGTATTTATTTTTTAATTTTCATTCTCTCCTCACCGCAGTGGAGTTTTTCAGAGGCTGCATCACTTATGATAGCAAAACAAATTGAATGAAGAATCTGAGATAGACAAAAATGTCAAACGTCACTCTTCTCACTAAATGGTTTTGTTTGGGAAACTATCGTTATTTTTCACAGTAATATGTAAACACGTAATGGGTTTCTTATTGTTATTCTTTTCTTTCTTTTAGATAGTCTTGCTCTGTTGCCCAGGCCAGAGTGCAGTGGCACAATCACAGCTCGCTGCAGCCCTGATACCCCAACACTCAAGCAATCCTTCCACCTCAGCCTCCCAAGTAGCTGGGACAGGTGTGACACCATACCTGGAAAATTTATTTTTTGTAGAGACAGCATCTTTCTATGTTGCCCAAGCTGGTCACAAACTCCTGGGCTCAAGTGATCCTTCTGCTTCAGCCTCCCAAAGTGCTGGGATTACAGTGTGCACTGTTGTGCCTGGCCTGTCATTCTTAAGTGGGTAACATTTAAATTTTTTTTTGAATTTGAAATATATGTAATTCATATTTTAAGGTTCTTTGCAATACTTAGGAACTTTTAAAAATATGAAGGTATCCTAAGATCCAAAAGTTTAAGTATCTGTCAGGTTTGTTGCTGCTGCCAGCCACTCACGCATACTATCCAGGGGCCTTGGAACAGGTCCACCCCACCCAGTACCATGCTGTTTTGGTTACTATAGCTCTGTAGTGTAATTTGAAGCCAGGTAATGTGATTCCTCCAGTTTTGTTCTTTTTGCTCAGGATAGCTTTGAATATTCAGGGTCTTCTGTGATTCCATATAAACTTTAGGATTTTTTTCTTCTATTTCTGTGAAGAATGCCATTGATATTTGGATAGGCATTACGTTGAATCTATAGACTGCTTTGGGTAGTATGGGAATTTTAACAATATTGATTCTTCCAATCCATGAACATGGAATATCTTTACATTTTTTGTGTCCTGTTCAGTTTCTTTCACCAATGTTTTATAGTTTTCATTGTAGAGATCTTTCACTTCTTTGGTTAATTTTTGGCTGGGAGCAGTGGCTC